GCTAAGGCAGAAGGATTTCAAGTTCAAGCCTATCCTGGGCAATTTAGTGAGACCCAGTCTCAAAAAAGGAAAGAGTCCTGGGGATTTTACTCAGTGCAAAGGCCTGGGTGAATCCTCAGTACTGTAAAACAAACAAAGCTGCTTGAGGGATAGGGATATAGCTCAGCAGCAGAACATGTGTTTAGCATGTACAAGGCCCCAAGTTCTATTCCCATCACCAAAAAATTAAGTTGCTCCACTGTCTTCTTATATGCATTATTTCTATCTAGAAATCTTCCATCATCTTTAGCTTTAATCATCTCTGTATCTGTGCCTCTGTTTCTGAAGCTGCTTTTTTTTTTTTGCTTAAATTCTTTTATTGGTACATTTTAAGTATACAATACGTTTACATTTATCATTGGATGCTTGTACCTGTACATGCTGTATCTTGGTTCTTATTTTTTCCCCATTACCTGTGCACCCTTCCCCCCCCATCCTTCCCTATTTACATAGACTTTGTTTCCATTTTTTTCTTTTCTCATAATTTTTCCTTTCCCTCTTCTCCCCCCCACCACTTCCCCTACCCCTAAATGAGACGCCCCAAATTCAAAGACCCAATTCAAAAATGGGCATCTGAAATGAAGCTGCTTTTAAAATGTATTTTTATCACTAGTTTTGAGCAAAATGATAATGGCATACCTTACTGTAATTTCCTTCATATTTCTTGTGCTTGGGGCTCAGGGGGCTTTATGAATTTGTGGTTTTATTATTTTGTCAAAATTGAAAATTATTTTTGTTTTGTCTTCTCTCCTCCACTTCAGAGACTCCGATTTCCTGTATACAGGCCACTTGAAGTATAAAGTATAAAATTCTCTTTCTCTTTGCCTTAATTTTGAATATTTTCTATAGCCATGTCTTCAAGTTCACTAAAAAATTTTTTTCTGTAATCTCTAATTTTCATCATTCCTATTCAATATAATTGTTATCTTAGGCATTGTAGTTTTCATCTCTAGTAATTTTATTTTGGCCTTTTCAAAATACTTTACATTTTCCACTTGACTTTTTGAGCATGTAGAATGCAGTTATAATAACTTTTATAGCATTTTCTTCTAATTCAACGTTAATTTGAGATCCATTTTGATTGATTTATCTCACCTTATGGCTCTGAGTTTCCTGATTTTTTATGTTAATTTTTGACCATGTGCCAAATATTAAATTTACTTTGTTGGTGCTAAATATTTTGTGTTTCTAAAAATATTCTCAAGCTTTGATAGTTTAGTGTACTAATCTATGCTGCTTCCCTTATCTCCAGGATCACTGCTTTTTGTTAGCTGATTTCTAGGCACTTGCACACTGTTGTTTCATATATTTTGTCCAATTTTTCATTGTTTTGAAGCCTGTTACTCCATTTGGTGGAAATTTAACATTTACACTTACTTCACCGGGGCTTCAGTCAGGGGAGGAAATAAAGCATGTGCTTATTCCATCATATTGAAGAAGAATCACACTGGCTGTTTTTAAAAAGATACTGCTGCTTGTGGTGTTAAAGCCTTTACTAATAATTTATCCCATGGCTTTGTACTTATGTATCCAAATTCATATTCTTTAAATTGACTTCTCTAAGTGTTTATTGAATGAGTGAGTGAGTGAATGGTGGTGTCCTTTTGGTAAGGTTACAGCTACAGAAGAAAGGCTGAAGATAAGACTGGTTTTAACTAAAATCTTTAAATTTCAGGACATCATTTTCTACACTGCAGCTTTCTGGGAGTTGTTAACAGTAACACTTGCCCTGCCTCTGTGGCAGGAAACCTGTGTTTAGAATGCAATCACACACTTGCCTGCTAGAATGAGTCTATAACACGTCTGGGAATTTTATTCTTGGCTGTTTGTCCTGGTAGTTTTCTAATTTGATCTCAATGTGAAAATTATTGTGGAATAACAGAAAAATAGATCTTTCCAATCCATCTATGCTCTTGTTTTATTTTTGTGTAATACCAGTTTAATCCTCTAAAGGATCCTTAAGGTCCCATGTCTGATTATAATGGAAGTGGATATATTTTAAGGTCAAGTTTCTGCTTTACTTTTTCCTCCCTCAAGTGTGTAAAATTGTATCATATATTCATTTAACCTTTCGGAAGCTGAGATATTAGGGTGAAAAAATCACAATATATCATATTTATCTCTTTGTTTATAAAAGCCGCATAGCATAGTGATTTCAGGTATCATAGCATCTGATTACCTGTGTGCAGCTCCAGCCCCTACTAGCTGTGTGACCTTGAGAGAGTCACTCAACTTCTCCAAACCTCAGTCTTTCCATCTGTAAAATGTCATGGTAATGGTTCTTCTAGAATTGTTAAGAAGATTAAGTGGGTTATGTCATTAAAATGCTATAAATAATACTTGATACATGGCAAGGGCTATATAAGCATTAGTTTAAAATAAAATAAAGTGAAATAGCACAAAATAAAGATAAGGCTTTACTCTATCTTTCTGTATTTATTCTGTCTGCCATTTCAGAGTATCCTGCTTTGTTATATCAGAATATGTCATACATTAACTGGCTGCATTTTGGGAACCAGTTGTACAGGGTGGGTAAAGAAATTTTCCCAATTTCCTTTCCTAGATCCTCTATGTAGCAGTGATGCCTGCCACCCTACTCCCCCACTGGCTCATGTTTATCAAGTGTTTGCCCTTGGTACTTTTATTTCTAGTCAAAACCTTCAGTTTCCCTGGATTCAACTTTAAATTCTGTCTCTGAGCTGCCCCCTCCCTGCTGCTAAACTGATGCTAAAGATTTTCCATCATAATATTTGAAATCAATGCTCATCTTTGTTACTTACTATCATCTAAGGCACATTAACACTATTAGTATGTTTTCCAGCCTTTTTGATTTTCTTTCTAATTTAACATCTCTGTTTCCTATGGTATTCCAATTTCACAGGTTATCCATGGCTTATAGAAATTTTCTCAAATTGTGAGAAATAGACTTGATTTACCATTTCTTTTTCATTTTTTAGTTTATGCATGTGCTTTATTATTAGTGTTTGTACAATTTTCAATTTAACGTCATCTTTCTGGGTCATTATCATCCTAGCCTGACATGGTTTTGATTATTAAGAGGTTGTTACCAGAGCTTAATCAGCAGTCCATGGTTGATCGTACTTTGTAAATATATGATTCAGCTAATGGCTTTTTGAAACTTATACTGACCTCTTTTTTAGTTAGTTATTTCAGTCTGGATAGTGTTATCTTTGGGGAATTTCTGTGCACGATGTCATATCCCATCCTCGTATTTGTTGCTGACTGAGTATTTGAGGTAAGGTCAACTCACAGAGAGGTTACAGAAACAAAGATGAGTCGAAAATCCAAATCATCTCATTAGAATTATTGTCAATACAGCCCAGTCCTGTGTCACATCAGGAGATGTGACACCCGTCAACAGAGCATCTCAGACACACACTGTGCCCCCCTCCACCTGCCTCCGCCACACCAGGCCCAGTGCTGTTCTGCATGTGTCTACAGCAAAAGCTCTGTGGGCATCTGACAAGAGAGGCTTAGGTATGCAGGCCCCACTTCATCATGCAACAGCCCGGGTAATAGAAATTGCTCATTATGAGGACTGGAGAAAGTGGAGATTAAATAAAGGCACATTGTGACCGGTCACAATTTCTAAACAAATCCTCCTGACTAATTTGGGCCTGACACTTCCAAAGCTGCTGTTATTACTGAACATGAGCATGTGGAAAAACTTAAGTCAAAACAAAGGATAAAATTCTTGAATGTTTTGGTTTAAAATTCTCTATTTCCTTGTGTGTATGGACACTTTCACCTTTTATCTAATCTAACTTTGGTAAGTTGCTATTGTGCTCCTTCTCTAGATCAATTCTCTAAAGATTTAGAAAATAAGAGGTTCTTTTATCTATGTGTAGTAATGGGTTTTGTGGGCTCTTAAAGCATTATCTTTTATGAGTCCTTAAGTGCTAGAAGTGGGGAAAACCATCTTTCTTTTAAATTTAGCAAATAGCATTTATGTGCATATGTGCTATGTGCTTATGCCACATACACACCCCATAATAGAAATATCATGGAAAAGCAAACCGTAAGCTTTTAATGCGGCCAGGCAGGAGCTTTCTCCCTTGCATCCTCTCCTGAAGTGGCAGTGAGAAGAATGAGAGGCCTCTCTGAGTCTGAGGTTATAAGTTTACTCCGAAAAAAAAGTCCATTCCTTTTTAGGCTCCGTATCACACCATAATAAATGTGAATCTAACCAGTTCCTCAAGTGCTTTCTAAGCAATGCTTCCATCTACCATCATACACGTATCTTTCTTTTATTTAGTAAGTACCAATAAAAGCCAATTGGAATGCAGTGCCATTTGCATGTTGAACAATTTTACTCAATGTGGCATCCAGGGGTGGAACAAGCTCATCCAGTAGTCAAGAGAGGGGAAAAAAAATTGATTTTTTGTATCCCAAGCGAGTTCCTCTAGATTTACAGAGCAGGTGTTTTTAAGATGGGTGTGAGATAAAGCTCACAACACTTGGCTGTTGCCAAACCCTAGGCATGCTGATGGGGATACCGGACACCATCCGTGGGGCATCAGACCCTCACTGCTCCTTGAATGAGCTCTGTTTTAGGATGGTATTCATGAGAAGGTATTGAATTTATCATGCCATAAAATGTCAAACTTTCACATCCTTGAGCTAGAGTTGATTAAAGTGGGATTTATGTTTATAAATACATTTGATTACTAAGGGAAATAATTAGGGCACATAAAAGAAACATAATGCAGAGATGTAAAAAAAATGTGGGTTTGGAGTTAGACCCAAGTTCAAATCCCAGCTCTACATGCTGAGTGACATTAGACTAGTCAGTGTCTCTGAACTTCAGCTTCTTTCTCTGTAAAATGGGAGATCGAAAAGCTAGCCATAGTTTTGTTGTATTAAGTAGACTGATACATGCAAAACAGTTCACACATAGTAAGCACTAAATAAATACTAATTTGCGTGATTTTTACTTTTAGGCACTTAAAAAAGAATTTTACAACTGAGATATCAAAGGTGGAGATGCTGGGGAATTCTTTGACTTTAAAAAACTGGAGTACAAGATGAGGCCCTGTTTGACAACCAGATTTCATGTGACAATAAGAACATTCCAGCCAGATATATGCACCTCAAGATTTATCTGAGCAAAATGCTTAAAGGTACCAAGGTGTTTTTTTTGTATTTTTTCCAATTATAATAAAAGAAGTCCTCATTCCTTTCTGCTCCTCTCTCTGTTAGTGCTGTCGCTTTCACTTACTCTGTGGTCTGTGAATATATTTCTCTTCCTAGTCTGGCTCTTTTTTTAGATCTAGTTGTGAAGTCTTTATTCTCTCACATAGACATATGACAGTAGGGGAGGAGGGCATGTTTATTTCCTAAATTTTCATGAGAAATCTGTCTTGCCAGTCTCCATGGAATAGGAAACTCAGCAAGGACAGTTTAGGTTGTTAGTTTCATTTCCCTTTCAAGCCACATTCACCAGTGCACCTAGTGCACTGTGCACATTCATCAGACATTTTGATCATGGAGAATAGCAGAGGCTTCAGAAGTTTGGGGCAGGGTGATTTTGCACAGGTGGGAGAGAATCCTGAGCCCTCAGGTGACGTTCAAGCCATCTCTATTGTTGCCTCAACCCCTATTCACTGCCTCTTTGCCAGGCTGCCCTGAGGCTCCTGGAAGCCACCTCATCCATTAGCATGGCAGGCTGAAAGTCCCTAGGAGTTAACATCTCTAGGGGCCCCTTAACCAACGCTATGTATATAGGTGTAAATATTACAAGGATGTGCTTTGCACAGTTTCCCAAAGTTTCCCTGTGTTCGTTGGGGAAGTAGGCCAAGCCCATAGCCACCAGGCCCTTCCCCAACCTTCCTTCTGCAGGATGGCCGATTTGTACTTGAGGAGGGAGATAGCAGGGTCTGTGGCCAACACAATGTGAATGTGTTGGTTTCTAAGCATGAAGCCTCCTGTCTACTCCATCTCCTCTTCTCACAGGCCTAGCAGACAAGTGCTTTGTGTTTTTCAGTAACAACCTAGGTAAGCCAGCCACCATATACCTCCCAGTGTATCAGAAAACACCTGCCTCTCAGAAGGATTCCTGCTAATGGACTGTAAGCATGGTAAACACAGCCTTTCACTGCAAACCAGTCTGTCCTGTGGCAACCTGAGACCAAGACTGCATATCCAGCTAGGCAGATCTCTTGAAAGTGTCTCCTTTACCATATTATCTGTTTCAGACTTGTGCTTATCTCTGTCTTGTTTGGCCTTCTCACCTTTGTGATGCTTTATGTTCAGCACACCCACAGAAGCTATGTAGAATCTGTATATAGTATATTAGCATTCCAAAAACATGCAATCCCAGTAGTAGACAATAAATTTGATTTTGCATGAGTGGCATCCTTTATACTTTGCTCATAAGACAATCTCTCAAGTGTATCTTTATTTTTCTTGTAACACACACAGATAGTCTGTGGATTGCATGACGGTTTTTTTTGCTCAGCAAAAAGGACTTGGACAAAAAAGCCATGCTGGTGTTCTTATTTACAAAGTCTGGGAAATTAATGTCAGCTGTTGCTCAGTAATTAGGAAAATTTAGGACCCCTGATGCTCCAATATCTTGCATTAAAGGTTGTATGTCATTGGTGTTTTCATGAGAATTTGCTGGATTTCTGTCATTAATAATGGGCATAAACCCAGCAAGCAGTAGAATATGTATTACATTTAATCAATTTGCTGTTTGTATTCATTATGCATGTCCTCCATTTTGAGTCATGAAAAATTGAAAGGCCACTGCAAATAGAAAGAGCATCATGGATTACAAATGATGTAACAAGAGCATAAGTGGTATTAATTGGTCAATTGTGCTTGTCAGTACTTTTAAAGTGATTAAGGTAGAAAGATTAGAAAGGACAGGAATGTGCTTGGCAAATAAAAGCCAGGATCATCAGGGCTCTCTTAAGTCCTTTGTGCCCAGATAAATGTGCAAAACCCAATGGCATTTATTCCAAGTTCATTCAGCAAAAACTTGTTGAGCACCTACCATGTCCCAGGCATTGTGCTGAGTACAGCCGAAAACAAAGTAGGTGAAGTCCTTGACCTGGAAGCTTCTCTTCTAGTGGGGAGGAGGAAATGCAAAATGAGCAAATGGACATATAACATAATGTGTGGTCCTGTGAGACCCATGGTGACTATCAGAAGGCGTAGAGAACAATGGTGGTAGAAAAGGAGAACCTCTCTGGGAAAGTGACATTGAACAGAGCTTTAAATGCAGAAACTGTGCAAACATCTAGGGGACAGTGTTTCATTCACGACTTGGCCCAACACCCCACTCCCACCCCAACACTCAAGAAGAAAAGATTCTTGTTCAGATGGTCCTGACTTACATACCATGGTTCAATTTAAGGTTTCCTACTTTACAACCCTGCAAAACTGAAACACATTTCTGGAAACTGCTTCATTGAATTTTTATCTTTTCCTGGGCTAGTGTTTGCAGTCCGATACTCTCTAATGGTGCTGGGTAACAGCACAAGCTGCAGTTCCCAGTCAGCCATGCAATACACCTGCACGCTATAGTGTGGTGCATGGCCAGATCTGTGTGGATACACATATTCAACAAATTGCATGGGATATTCAACCCTTCATTATAAAGTAGGCTTTCCCTGCTTTTCTGCTGCACAGCTGTCAAACTCATCCCTGCCCCTAGGCCTGTGATTTGCTGTCTTCTATCCTTAGAAATTCACATCTCAGGGCTAGGGATGTAGGTCCTTAGCACTGCGCCTGCCTGGCAAGTTCAAGGTCCTGAGTGCGATCCTGGGTACCAGAAAAAAAAAGTAAATTCAGATCTCAGCTCCCAGATCACCTCCTCAGGGACCCTTCCTGACCACGGGGGCTGGACTTGCTTCCTGGGCTTCCCCAGATCTTCCTGCTCTGATTTGCTTACAGCATTTATTGTTACCTGAACTGTATGCTGTCTACTTCCTTGTTTTTTATCTATCTCCCACATTTGAATCTGAATCCTGTGAGATCAGGCAGATGTCACTTGAGTTCACTGCTTTGTCTGGGTGCCTAGAACCATGCTCTTAGCCTTGTGTAAATACTGAATAGTTTCTCTAGTGTGAGAAACTGAAAGTGTAAATAAGGATTAAAATGAATAATTGATAATTTGAAATAGGAAGAAAAGCTTCAAAGGGGCAGGGGAAGTAGGAGGGGAAGGGGAAAGCAAAAATTATGAGAAAAAGAAAAAAATGGAAAGAAAGGCTATGTAAATAGGGAAGGGGGGTGGGGAAGGGCGCACAGGTAATGGGGAAAAAATAAGAACCAAGATACATCATGTACAGGTACAAGCACCCAGTGATAAATGTAAACACATTGTATACCTAAAATGTACCAATATAAAGTTAAGCAAAAAAAAAGAGCCTTGGTGAGCTCAAGTTGAATGAATGAGTGGATCAATCAGTCAACCAACCAACCAGCCAAAACTAAGACTAGAAACAGACAGGTTTCTGCTTTTGTATTCAAATAATTGTTTAAAAAACTTTTTTCTGAAATTCCCATGGAAAAAATAGATATAGATTCTAAACAGTGTTCTCAGTGACTAGGTAACATTGATATTTGTGCTTCACATGGCTACAACCTAATGCCATGCATTTCTAAATAATATACGTCGGGCCGGGGATTTAGCTCAGTGGTTCTGGCGCCTGCCTCACAAGTGCCAAGGTCCCAAGTTTGATCCCCGGAACCAAAGAAAAAAAAAAAGTGTATGTGTATATATATATATATATATATATGTGTGTGTGTGTGTGTGTGTGTGTGTATATAATGTCTTTTCAATATACTGATGTGCTTTGGCTGACTAAATGCTGTGGTATTGTCACTGAGTATTAACAAGCAATGGAATGTCAGTCCAGGGTGAACCATGGCAAATGGGTATTTCTAGCAATCCTCCTTCTTTAGAACTGACAGTCTTAGATGCCCTGCTTAATACATAGCATCTGGAAAATCCACCAGAAGAGGGAGATGGTGTAGTGTGATGGTACCAGAATTCCAAGTCCTTGCTGAGTGCATTCAGTATCTAATTCAAAGAAGACTTGTGAGTGTCTTGTGCCAGACTCTGAAGCAGGTTCTGGGGATATGGGATTGTGGAGATGATGTTGCTTACCTACCAGAAACAGCTGACATTCAACAACAGTGTTTCTAAAACCCACCTGCACGTTAGAATCATGTGGGGGCCAAGTATACCTATGCCAAGTGAATCAAAATCTCTGGTCCTGGAGTAGGACACATTCATCTGTGGTTTGTAGTCCCCAAGTGCTGTTCATGGGAAATCAAGGTCAAGACCTACTGGTTTAGTAGAAGGATGGATGCACAAGGAGCAAAACCACAAAGCAACAGGACAGTGGCTGTGACAACTGGCAGGTGTGAGCTGGAAAATGATGACATTTCTCTTCGGTGCATAACTACAATTCAGAAAGAAAGGCTTTCAGGCTAAATCACCTGTTGTTGTACAAGACATGTATGTTGCATCTATTTATCACTACCCTCCCAAAAGCAGACAAAAAGAGCAAATATCATTCATTTAATGATTGTTTTCCCTTCGTGGCAAATGAATGGTCTTATTTTTCTACATAAGCCAGGAATTGAATGTTGTATAATTAATCAAATCAAGAATTTTCATTAAAACATGGTGTCTTTCTTAATTAGCAGATACTAGAGATGGGAAAATATGAGAATCCACAGTGTAACCATCAAGAGGAGGAATTAGCATGTTCTCTTAGATTATTTTAGAAATGTAGAATTTCCTAAAGCACAATGGTATGGATGATCTGAAACTCCCTTAGACTGCCTGTGCCTGTGATAGTAGGGAATGAAAGTATTTAGGCTGGAGAAAAGCACATTTTCTGGGTAATTAACTGAAGTTTATCTTATTCAACTAGAGATTAAGCTTTGCTTCCCCCACCCTATTCCTTGAATAGAACAGGATAACGAGAATGGTTTTATAAAGGGTACATTTTTTTTTTGGTACTGGGTATCGAACTCAGGACCTTGCACTTGTGAGGCAGGCGGCAGAACCACTGAGCTAAATCCCCAGCCCAAGGCTACATTATTGTTCTGAAAGTTACTTCTGATTATGCTTGGAAAGTTGTCCCTGGTTTTTTGTTTTGTT